TAAGAGTTGCTCAGGGATTGCTTCAGAAGAATTTAAAAGAAACTCCAACAAGTAAGTTGTCTATCCAATTGTTTCATGTTCAAATTCAATAGTGTAGTTCATCGAAAGAGGTGATAAACCCCACATATCTTTTCTTTTATCCTTGACTTTGACGACATTATTCGTACAACAGTAAAAAAGGTAGCCCGGTGCACTAAGCTCCTGCTATGTGCGGGGTCCGGAGAAGGGCCGGACACAAGGGTCTATTGTACTTACCCTATATTTCCGCAAGAGGTTGTTTCCACGGCTCGAACCCGTGACCTCCTGGTCACATGGCAACAACTTTACCGGTTACGCCAAGGCTTTCGTTCAAATAGTCCTGTATAATATTTGAAATTTTCACTTTAGAATTTCATATTTGTGGTGCTCGTTATATGCATTTAGGTTATTCTTTACACTTTAGTGAAACCATACTGTTCTACTTTTGACCCTTTGTGAACTGTATCTGTCGGACGGCTGCAGGTTTACTTCATCAATAAGACAATTAGCAAGAGTTTTGGACAAGTCTTTGATCAATGATCTTGGTTATACCAAGCGCTATGTCCGATGCCTCCAGGTATTAGGCATTTATGCGGTCTAATCATCCTGTCTTTGGATTATGTGCATGTCAGAATGCTGTGTGGAATTGAAATTTCAGATAAAAAATGGCGACGATGATTTATATTAAAATTCTCAATAGAAAGACTTGTTTATTCTGATTCAATATAAAAGCATGCACGATAGTTTCATCTCTGTTGTCATTTCAATTACTTGAGATTGCAGATGCAAAATGTAACAGTTTGTTAACAAGATGCTTAAGGAATTCAATTGCTTTAAACTACTGACATTCAATAGAAAAAAAATCTCTACTGTAATCCAATAGTTTTATTAACATGTAAACTTACATTACGACACCAACTTCTAGAATGAACTTTAAGAAAGGGCAGTGCGGTGCACAAAGCATCTCATGCAGGGTCTGGGAAGGGCAGGACCTCAAGGGGGCGTGATGTAGGCATCCTACCTTGATGCAAGCATCAGTGGCTTGATTCCACGGCTTAAACCCGTGAGCTATAGGTCAAACGGAAACAACTTGACCGTTGCTGTAAGATTCCCTTTCAATGAACTTTAAGAAAGGCAAAAAGAAAAAGATCTCAAGATTCTGTTGACGCGAGAAGAAACCGCAAGTGAGAAATGGGAAAGGTCTCAGTAAATTAGAGAAGCGGCTTCTTTAACCTTTTGCCTGGGCTACTGTTTGTGTTTGCCTTTGACATGCTTGAGGGACTTCACTCTCTTGTGAATGCTTGTTAGACATCCTAATCTGTGAACTACTTGACTGTGTCGAATTACATATTTATTCTTTTTTGATGAGTTGTAGACAGCAGAAATAGTCAACGGCATGAAAGATCTAATGGACTACAGCAAGAAATACGGGATGGGACCTGCAGGTAATGAAATAACTTAACCTTATTGTGCCCTAGGCATTCTTTGCTTGTAATACAAACTCATTTGTCGAGAGATGATTGCAACTAACTCTTTATAATTTTTCAGAAGCCATGGACAGGTTGTATCGTCAATCTCTTGCATCATGTGTGACACATAATAATTCAGGTGTAAAAGAAGAACCTCAACAACATCCAGAGCAAGAGCAATCATACTTATATGACGACGCAAAAGATGAGGACTCTTCTGTAATAAGTTATACTCCTTTGTCATCTAATGAAGAAACAGAAAGTTCAAGTTTATCCCATCATGCTACATCGCCAACTGCCTCTACTGCTACATCCAAAAGACTGGTTCACTTAGTAGACATTGTCGAATCTAAAAGAAAGAAACAAATGACAAACTCAGGGGAGACTTCTCTTCTGCTTGCTTCGACCGAGCCTGTGATGAATCAGCCAATCTCCACAACTCCTCCTTTTTCTTCCATTAGGTCATTTCTAGCTCAACCATCTTCTGCTGAGAGAGTCGTCAAATCTAATGCTACGTCAGGTGAACCTATTGAATATCTGAGCTCCAAGGTAAAGGTTAAAGAAGATCTTGTCGCTTCTCAAAATATAGCTGCTGCTGCTGCTGAAGATGCGATTGTTGGTAACGTTCTGAAACAGAAGGAGAAGAAGGATGATGATAAAGGTAAGTACTGCTATGGATTTGAAACTGATGGAATGGTTGAGAAAAGCTATTACATGGATCAGTTGGAATCAGAAAACTTGAATGGGGTAAGTCCTTTCTCTGGAATTCACATTGGATCTCCTTTGAACGGCACGTTAGTGGTGAATGATACTGATCATAGCAACAACCAGCAATTCAATGACAAACTGCTTTATTGGAACGGAGAAATGGACCCTATCGATGATATTCAGTTCGACTGAAATTCTCCTTTCAAGATAACATGATTTCATGGTGTTTTTCTGATCAGTAGCAGTTGCATGTTTAGATACTTTAATCAAGCAAGTTTCCTTTTTTCCTATAATTTTACTAGTTTTGAATTAAAAGGAGATCTTTCTTCTTCCCTTGTTTTTATACTATAACTGCTTGTGCTTGAGACAGAGTGCAAATAGGAACTTCTTTTACCAAGCACTAGTTTCATCTGTTCTTTTAATATATATATATATATATATATATATATATATATATATATGTGTGTGTGTGTGTGTGTGTGTGTGTGTGTGATGTCATGGTTATCTTTGTTTTAGACTAGGTTGCTAAGAAGTTGGTTTTCATATAGTGCTATTTACAATATATAATGGTCTGGCAACTGTTACTAGATTTTTTAATAAAAAAGATGAAGCAACAAGAAGGTTGAGGGCATCTCCAACCTTTACCCCATTTTTTGTCCCCAAAATGGGGATTTCGGAGACAACTTATTCCAACCATTCCTCCATTTTTTTTTTTCCAAACTTTTTTATATTTTTCTCTCTCTTCTATATTATATTAGTATTATCTTTCATTTCAATTTCATTTTTTAATTTCCATTAAACAAATTCCATCTTTTATTTTTATTAGTTTGTAATTTCCATAATTAAAACAATTCCATAAAATTTTAAATAATATAGTTTGTAAGCAATTATTATAGATTAACTAATAATTCAAATAAAAGTGAAATCATTGTGATACAAGATTAATTAAATACATATTACATAACGATAAAATTCATTCGAAATACTAGATAAATATTCAACTTCAACCTCTAGTATTCTTCCATAAATGATCTATTAATGCATTACAAAGTGCAAAATGAGCATCTTTGTCCTTAATTCTTCTATGTCGAAATAAAAATTCTTGAAATTGTTGATTTTCATCTACTGCCAATTCTACATAAAAATAATAAATGCACGAAAATTAATTTATCAAAATTATACACCAAAGTTAAGATATAATATTAATATTATAAATACATTACATAAACATAATTAGGTATATATAAAGAGAGAAATTAAAAGATTAAATAATAATAAAAAAGTGATGAATAGTAATGGGGGAGATGAATAGTGTACCCCATATTTGAGGGAACACTATTCATCCCTCATTTTGGGGACAAAATGGAAGAGGGTTGGAGCTAAATTCCCCCAAATATTTCCCCATTACGAGGGATGGGGGCAAGATTGGAGATGGCCTGAAAGTATGATTGAATTTCATTAATCATAGCTTTAAATAGCAAAGAGGTTGAAAGGATGATTGAGAATTTTAAATTGGAAATATCTGTAGTATACACGTTGCTGAATGAGTCAATCCTTTTTTTAAAAAAAATAAAAAATCCAACCTAGAATGGAATTTATTGTGAAGATTTTTTTAGGGTTAAGTGTACCTATACTATAGATTGCTTTTACTATCTAGAGTTGAATTGCTTTCTTGGCTTTGGTCTTTTTATCTTGTTATTCACATGTCTTTTTTTCTCTCTTCTTTCATCCGTTTTCCTGAGTTTATCGGAAACAACCTTTGTGCTCTTACAGGGTAATGATAAGGCTGCATACATCTTACCTTCCTCGGACTCCACTTGTAAAAAAAATTACTGGGATAATTATTGTTGTTGTTGTTGTTGCACCTATAGAATGATAAAAGATCTCAAATTATGCATTAGGATTTTGAATTTTTGAGAAAAGCCCCCCCTCTTCAATAATATGGACTTGTTGATCATGATATATGGTAAGGCTAATTTCTTTGTTACACCTTTAAACATTCTTCAAATACATAAGTGCCCCTTAAAGTTGTCGTGAATTTTCATTTTATCACTTTTACTAAGGCTTGTTCCAATTAGACACCCCAACATATATCAAAATGTGCCTATTTAACATCTACTGACTAACCAATAAAACAAATGAAAAATATGAACTTCACGTGCAGTGAATGGCAAAATTATCCAAAGAATGTAATTTTAATGTAAACACTTGCCTAACTGACATGATTGCACAAAAAACTTTTCAATAGTCAAAAAATAGAACTTAAAACTCTTGAATTCTGATTTATCTTCAATATTTGAAGTTCAAGAGCTTAAACAGTGAAGTGATTTAAATGAAAAAGTTTTTCATGAAACATTGGAGGTATAAAACCTTCTCATTCAAATCACTTGTCTAAAACCTTTTTGTGGTTCACTACTGCAAAACCTATTTGTTCTTCGACATAATGAACATGCATGATTTTACTTCTGCTAGATACACATCAACTGGATGTTGAATTTTGAGCCCTGCTGTAGTTTGTAGAAGTCATGCTTCAGCTTTGCCAAAGGTACAGTACGTTTGTTGTGTGATTATAACTAAACTCACTTGTGCTTCTTCACCACCAGCAAGAATGCGTTGAATCTGAAGCCCTCTGCTGAAGGCCTGGTTGAAAAGTAGCCTTGTCTGGTTATAAAGTTTAGAGAATGTTGGATAGTGAAACAAAATTTCTTCCAAAAATATTTCCCGAATATTATCTTTCATACCAAACACACCCTAATTGTTCCTTTTTGGGGGGTAATATATAACATTTCTCTTAAACTTGACTCGATTTACAACTCATGAGTTCTCATTTATCTTCAATATAAACCAAAAAAATATTGCATATATGAGCAATTATTTGCATTTATAACAAAGGAGTATACATCTTGTGCTGTAGTATTCTGAAACTATAATATGCTAATATGCTCTACAATGTGTCCCGAACCAGGGAGCAGAAGGCTTGATGTGGAACTTTGAACAATGGTGTGGAAGTCATACTTCTGCTTTGCCAAAGATACAGAACGTTTGGTGTGTGATTGACAATTAAGCTCACTTGTGCTTCTTCCCACCAGCAAGAATACGTTGAATCTGAAGCCCTCTGCTGAAAGCCTGGTTGAAAAGCAGTCTTGTCTGGAACTCAGAGACAAATGGGAACCAAGCAAGAACAGCCACAGGTGCAAAGATCACGAGCCCCATTAGGTACTCATATCCTCTGGCTAGAGCCTTCACAGATCCCCACATACCTATGCCCTTCACTACTGGCCTACATGCCTGTGCTATCTGCAGGGCACACGATAAGACTTCAGATACACACACACACACCTTCACTACTTGCCAAAGGTACAGTACGTTTGTTGTGTGATTATACACACACACACACGATAAGACTTCAGATTCTTTACACACACACACACACTCTTCTTTAGTGTTCTATATATCAAAGGCAGGTAATTTTGTTTTTCTAATGCGATGAAGTTGTCAAAATTGTAAAGAATCTCTTTCACTGACACAGCCTCAATTCCACTACTATTAGTAGCAATAATGCTGAGACAAAAACCTCTCAGTGAATAACATTGAAGATAAGAAATAGTCACCTGAAGAAGAGCCCATCCAGTTGGCAAGAAGGCCAATAAGCTGGCAAAAATGTCTCCAACAGTAAGACTTAGGAATTTGAACAGCACGACAAGTGTGACTATGAAGCCAATGAACAGGAACAATTTCAGAAGCCTGAACATCAGCTGGAAATCAGCACTGAACTTCTTCCTACCCATGGACACGATCTGCAGATAGAAAGTACAGTTTCAGAACTTGCTACAGAAAGACAACCTTTATGTGACAAGAATTTAGAGTATCTTTCTAAAGAATGGTTTCATAATGCAAGAAAGGTCCGAATGCTGACCTTCAAAACGACCATGACGAACACAATGACCAACCAGGACAAACCATAAACCTGCAATCGTATCGAGAAGAGGATTATCATATAAGTGGGATGCCAATACACTCTAGATATTGTATTGAAAGCTGAAAATTCAAGGGAGATCTATTCTCAAAAGACTTCGAGATGAACTTACAATGATACCCTTATCATTATTGGCCACATTTAGCTGATAAACAATTCCATATTGGAAAAGTAAGAAGCGCAGAGCAAGAAGAATTTCACAGAAGCGGCCAATCAAACCAGAATACTGCAGATGCTCTTGTTCCTCATCCCACCAAGACTCCCAACTCTTGGTTGCCGGAACACCAATACCTCCATGATTGCTGATCCACTTGGCCCAATCCTCCCAATCATCCACTATCTTTTGCCATTCAAAGCCTGAAGGATTAAAGAGGAAAGGAGCAAACAGCCATGAAACCACAAGGAACCACATTGAGCCACTGAGAAGCAAGAAAGCTACAGAATCAGTAACAGCTGTGCCATAAATTTGATAAGCTACGAGCAAAATCAAAATTTCCAGTGCTTTGGTGAAATGGCTCCTTGAGTACATTCTGTAGTTCTCAGCAAACTTTTCGTGTCTCACGACAAAACCACGCCCAGTTGCTCTGTATTTCGCTCCACCATGTAAAATTGTGCGGCCAAAGTAATGGAGCTTTGTTCCAAGAGAGAATGTAAAGAAGACAGCAGCCAACTGCAGGTTCATGATGATGATATCACCTGCAGCAGTTCTGAAGCCTCTTTCCAGCCCAATCTCCATAACCATTGGCAGGGCCATTAATAAACCAAGTTGAACAACAGATTGTGAGGCCATTGCAGCTTTGAGAGCATCATCACCCTTGGATCTTGCAACTTTGACAATGGACTGTTCCAGTCCACTCAATGCAAGGTAGAGTTTACCATATAAAAATGCATAAACTGTGAGGACTACCAGCTGCAAGGAATAAACAAAATGATATCATAAGTATATCTTCCTTTACATCATCTCGCGGAAGCAAAAGTGATTGCCGCACATGCTTCAAAATGGAAGTAATTGCAATGTATTATGATTTTGAAGTCATGTAGCCCATACCTGCTGAGATAAAACTTTGTAGATTAATGACATCAAATGTTACAGGACTTACCATTGAGCTGATATAAAATCCAGTAGTTGTGAAATAACAGGACAGCATACGGAAAAAGTCGAAGCGATGCCCTAATCTGTACAGATCACGGCTAAGGGTCTGCTCTCCATTACCACATGCCACTTTTGCCTCAAAGAGAGAGATTTGGTTAAGACCAACATCTCGTCCCTTTCCAACTTGAATGTATTCATGGTGAGTAACATTTCCACGTCGCAATGTTGAGTTGAAGCCTACAGAGCCAAACTTTGTGAGACAATAAGGTGAACTTTTTATGCATCAATAAACATATTTCTGAACATTACCTGCAAATATGTCCTCACTAAGATTGATACCCCTTGAAGCTTTGCTAATGCCACCGCGAGTGATGTGGAAAATTCTGTCAAATACATCTGGATGTCCATAGTGGAAGCGGACCCTAAAATCATCAAAGTAGAATATAAAAATCTCATGGCCTTGTCAGAAGTCAGAAAATAGCATAAATGTAAATTATTTAGATATAAACCAAGTGAACTCTTAACCGCAAGCAAACCAGCGAAAGAAAGTCCCCACTGCTCCTGATTTAGTTTCTAACAGAAGAAAACTGTGCATTTGTCCAGGAAAGGATCTGGCTCTACTTCACATAAGCAATCCAGTATATACTAAGTTTCTTCCTCTCCATTTGGAGAAAGAGAAAAAGTTACTTACATTATGTTTAGTTCTTAGAAGGTTAAGGGAAGGGGAAAATAATGAGAAACTAACTGGTTTCCTTGCCCTTAGATATTGGAGAATTACTTCCAGTTGTTTGTTACAATTAGAAAGGAAGTAAAACAGATATACTCCCTCTTTCTGTCCAGTTTGGATAGATTGAGAAAGCTGATCTGGAGAGTTATCCAATTCGTCCATTTTTACTTGACATATTTATTTACTTCTCTGCCAAATAAGGGAAATGATCTGTATCCCTACACCTTTACATCTAATCATCCAACTCCTCCTCTTTTCACCCAACCACACATAGCTTTAGTTATTCAAGTCGTGACATAATGGCAGTCTTCAGCAAAAGAAGAATAAAAGTTGAACAGCACTACAGAAAATGTTTTTGCCAAAAGTTGATGCATTGATATGGAAATATAGGACTGTCTGTTGAGTAATTTAATTCATCAAGGAACCGAAGAACATACTTCAAGGGCCTTGCAAGAACTCTCTGACCAATGGTGACAAAACTTGTCTCTTGATTAGACATAAACCAAGCCAACGAAGAAACACTGCAATTTGGAAGATGCGATGCCTTATTAGACATGTCAAAACCTTGATTTAAAGAAACTAAGCAGGCTCTATAAGAAATTATTATGCAACCTTCCAGTGAAGATATGCTCACGAACACCCAATATTGTAGGTGGACGCACTCCGTGATCTTCATTAAACTCCTCAAGAAGGTTACGCATCTTTAAAGCTTCCTCCAAGTAATTGTCCTGCAAGAGAAAGCATTAAGCGACTATTTTCTGATTACTTAACAGTAAGTATTTCAACTCAGTCTAACTTCACCTGATTCATGTCAATTGTTTGAAGANAGAAGAAACGCTGCAATTGGAAGATGCGATGCCTTATTAGACATGTCAAAACCTGGATTTAAAGAAACTAAGCAGGCTCTATAAGAAATTATTATGCAACCTTCCAGTGAAGATATGC